CGGGCCCGGGGCAGGCGGCGGCGAGTCGTGGTACCTGGCGCTGCTGGGCCTGGCCGAGCACTTCCGCACGTCCAGCCCGCCCAAGGTGCGCCTGTGTGTGCACTGTCTGCAGGCCGTGCTGCTCCGCAAGCCGCCGGCCCGCATGGAGGCCCGTACGCACCTGCAGCTCGGCTCCGTGCTTTACCATCACACGCGCAACGGCGACCAGGCCCGCGGACACCTCGAGAAGGCGGTGAGCGGGGCCGTGACACCACCCAGCCCTGAATCGTGGGCCCTGCCATGACGTGCGAGGGAGTGGACAGACCCCCCGGCCGGGTTTTGGCTCGAGCTGTTCCCACGGCAGTTTAGGGCATCTAAACAATAGTAAAAAGTTGTTGTAATATGTCAAGAATAGACCTAGACGCAGCCCTGCTGTCATCCTTCCTGTTGGGTTTGTCCCTTGGTGCAGAAATCATCCTAAAATTTCACGAATGTCCATCTTTGTGGATGGTTTTTACTGTGCGGGGCCTAATCCGGTGCTTGGAGGAGGGGGTGGGAGGAGCTCCATTTACCCGGCATCCCTTGGGGTTACTAGGCGGGGTGGCCGTGAACTGGAGGAGAACAGGTTTAGGTTAGATGTCAGGAAAACCTTCTTTATGGTCTGCAATGGGCTTCCAAGGGAGGTGGTACTCTCCCCTACCCTGGACGTCTTGCCTGGCTGGGGTCATTCTCCTGCACAGGGTGGCGGGTTGGACTTGATGACCTACTGAGGTCCGTTCCATTGAGGAGTGAGGGGCGCGGCGGCTGCATCGCGCTCCCCAGATGCTGAGGGCTGGAGACTGTGAGAGGGAGAGGAGCAGGGCAAAGCCTTGCAGGGACCCAGGCAGACAAGGTTATTTTCCTTAGATGCTATATCTTTTATCAGAGCAACTCAGTCATTGGGAAAATTGTTCTTTGTGACCAAACACCCTTCATGTGCCCGACAGCTTGCAGAGAACAATTTTTCCAGCTAATAAAAGATACCATGTTTACCCAACGAACCTTGTCTGCCTGTGTCTTTAGACCCGCAGACCTACAGCCAGAAGCTCTTGCTCAGACCCAGATCACGCTCACTTTCAGCATCTCACATGGGTCGCGCAGGCAAGATGGACCTGGTCTGACCCAGTAAATGGCAATTCTCATGTTCAGGCAGCTGTATCTCCTTCCCCGCCAGCCATGACAGCCTGTGGGGGTGTGGAAAGTCATGGGGGTACATTCCCCTGGGGTAGATGCCCCTGTTTTTAGGGCCCATAGAAGGTAGAGGCCAAAGAAATCCAACAGCGAGGGAGCACAAGTAGGCCTTGGGGCAGTTCAGTTCAGTGACCCCCTTGGTGTTGCCAGCAGCCAACTAACCTGTCGTCTTCTTTTGCAGTGGTTGATATCACAACAAGTATCCTTTTCCAGCTGCCTGGTCAATAGCTAACACTCAGGGGCTTCATCAGGATTTAATGCAGAAAGCTTTTGCCAGGAAAACAGGCGGTGCTGGTTCTGATGGGACTGGGGCCCTGGCTACACTGCCAAATTAAAGCTGGGTACAAACCAGCACATCTTCATGCACTAGCTTTATAGCTGGTTGGCTCTTTTTATAGCTGGAGAATCATTTTTATCATGTGATGATTATTTTGGATGTGTGGCTGGCCTGAATTTATTGTGCGATTTACCAGTTAATTGCATAATGTATGTAATGTGTAGCAGGGGCCTGGTAGATCTTGTAGGGAGCTTTACCTAGTTCCTTATGTGTGGTCTGCTCCCTCAGCCTTCTTGTAATTCATGTTGGCATTCGGAGCAGGCTGTGGCAGGGTAATGTTCTGTGGTCACAAAGCCTGATAATGACTTAACTCCGAGGCTGCTAGATTCCACAGTTTGAGGATGTCAAATTTGAAGCAGCGAGCCTCCTGTCCGAACTGTATTGTCAAGAGGTAAGCAAATTAAGGCTGGTTCTAAACCATGTTTGTTGACTGTAAGTGGATTAACTCCAGAGCCAAATAGTTGTTTGCAGTGGCGCCGTACCTCCTTTTATACCGGAATATCTGTGTAAACTTCAATAACGATATCTAGAAAACATTGAATGTGGTCACACTTAAGCACGCTGAACTTCACATATAGTAATGTGGGATAAAATTTCCAAAGTGCTTCATTCTGTTAGGCCGTGCTAGTTCTAAAGAGTTAGTTAGGCCGTTCTGTGACAAAGTAAGTTTATTTTCTCCTTATTCCATTAGCAGCAGTGGAGACAAAGGCAGGCCAACTGTTTTGGTGTTTCTTGGGAGGCTTAAGTTGTATGCCTTTATTATTTTGTGTAAAACTTCCTGAATGGTGTGGAGTTTCTTCCAAGCCAAAGCAATTTGCACCATGTAGTATGTGTGTTTCTGCATACATAAAGGGTGTAATGAATGCAGTGAATAACTTATACAATTTTAGAGGGCTGAAGAATGTGGTCACTCATGTTGAATACTTGTTTTCTGTGTTCTTTTATTGTTTTAAGACTCTTGGCTCATTTAATTCCCCCCCCCCCCCCCCC